ATATATATAAGTAAAGTTCTGATTACCTGGCTTTGGCACACAGTGCCTTGACTTCATTTTCTTTAATAAGCTCACAGCGTCTGAGCTGCTCTATCTGTCGGTCCAGGTCACTGATGTCCCCCATTGTGACACACATAGGGAGGTAGAGCTGCTCACACACTATGGTCACACAGACACGCACCGGGGTCACTGAAAGAACAGGATCCTTGTCACCAGTCAACAGAGCGGCCAGTCACACTCCTTCCTCAGAAATAGACAAGACTTATCAACACTTGGACGTCAGGCTCTTGCAATGCTGATGTTCACAATAAGTAACTGTAACAGGGAAAAAGACAGGGTAAAGCAATCAAACAACGTATCTGAATAAAAATCAATGCACTAACCCTCACACAAAAGGATACATATCTTTAACGTTAGTTTAGATTTGATATTTAACTTGAATTTCCTCAAACGGGTTGCTAACTCGCATTACATAATAACGACAACGCATTCTGTACGACAGAAAACTCTCATTACATTATTCGTTTATTTACACAGAATGCAGATGAACAGTGCACCAGAGAAAAATGACGTTATTCGTTTGGCAATGGTAAGGCCTACGGGCGTAGCTCAAACAGTAAGCTAACCATTAGCATGTTAGCTTATATCACAGCTAACGACGTCAGCGAACAACTGATTGTTTGGTAACTAAACAACCATTTTGTTCGGGAATTTGTCCTGAAGGCTAACGCGAATGTCTGCCAACAAGTACCGAAGAACTAAACACCCTAAGCGTGCTTGTGGAATGCAGACATGTAACGTTATTTATCGTAATTAGCTGATGAAAAGCTCTATGTTAGCCCGCTATCCACGGCTGTTGTAACACTGGCTAGCGCTTCTCGGCTAATTTTGGAAACAACACACGTAAAAAGGATTCACAATCCCCCGCTACTTCGACGAAACACGAGTAAGAGTGATTACCGTTAAGATGTTAATAGTAGAACAAACCTCAATACGTTTCATTCCGTGGAATGTGCGTTGTTTCGCCGTCAACTGACGCTTATTCTCCCCCGGTATCGTCTTTGCCGGTCCACTCCTGCCGAGCTCATGAACACTAGCTTCTTGACTGTAACTTCCGGTGTAGGGACCGCGCATTGCTCAGTGTATATTGGGTGGAGTGGGTGTGTAGGGGAGTTTACAATTTAGTCAAAAGGAAAATACTAGGATTTTATTAAACGTGAAGGAAATCGAAGCTGAAAGAGTGCTTATTAAGTTTCAAAATAAATGATAAAGAAAAAGGTACTTCCTCGTAGTTACTCCTTTTCGAACATTCAGCGGGGAGCTGGAGCCTATCCCAGCCAATTTTGTACGAGGCTGGGTACATCCTAGACAGGTTTGCAGGGCAGACACATAGTTGACACATAGCAGACAACAATTTAGTTCATTCATCTGTGAGTGACTGTAGAGTCAATCTGCATGTGTTTGATCCAAACAGAAAACCCTCGCTACAGTGAGACAGCGCTAACCACTGTACCACCATGCTAACTCTTTTGCAAATATAGAGAGAGATGGCCCTTTCAGTTAATTAGTTAAGCACACTAAAATGCAATAAGTCTGGGGAAAACAGTGGTTAGCTCCTCTCTAGTTTCTTATTCTGAAATCTAAAAGAAACAACAGCACATTAATATACAAAAGAAAACATCATAAGACACATTTTACAAATTAAAGTAAAAAAGTAATATCAATATAAACAGTGTGAAAGCAAATAATATGCATTGCTAGACTGGAATACAATCTCCTCACCCAGTTGGAGACATGCAGGTGATTGGAATCTATATTTATATGAAACCATTTTAAGATTATATTAACAGGGACCAAAAACATACTTTAATAAAACACATGTTCTGCTTGGGCACATATTATTTCTTCACTGATGTTCACAAGCAATCACTCTAAGGTTTAGTCCCTCACCAAACATGACGAGTCTACCAAACATATGTGTATATATATATATATATATACATATATGTATATATATATATATATATATATATATACAGTACAGGCCAAAAGTTTGGACACACCTTCTCATTCAATGCGTTTTCTTTATTTTCACGACTATTTACATTGTAGATTCTCACTCAAGGCATCAAAACTATGAATGAACACATGTGGAGTTATGTACTTAACAAAAAAAGGTGAAATAACTGAAAACATGTTTTATATTCTAGTTTCTTCAAAATAGCCACCCTTTGCTCTGATTACTGCTTTGCACACTCTTGGCATTCTCTCCATGAGCTTCAAGAGGTAGTCACCTGAAATGGTTTTCCAACAGTCTTGAAGGAGTTCCCAGAGGTGTTTAGCACTTGTTGGCCCCTTTGCCTTCACTCTGCGGTCCAGCTCACCCCAAGCCATCTCGATTAGGTTCAGGTCCGGTGACTGTGGAGGCCAGGTCATCTGCCGCAGCACTCCATCACTCTCCTTCTTGGTCAAATAGCCCTTACACAGCCTGGAGGTGTGTTTGGGGTCATTGTCCTGTTGAAAAATAAATGATCGTCCAACTAAACGCAAACCGGATGGGATGGCATGTCGCTGCAGGATGCTGTGGTAGCCATGCTGGTTCAGTGTGCCTTCAATTTTGAATAAATCCCCAACAGTGTCACCAGCAAAACACCCCCACACCATCACACCTCCTCCTCCATGCTTCACAGTGGGAACCAGGCATGTGGAATCCATCCGTTCACCTTTTCTGCGTCTCACAAAGACACGGCGGTTGGAACCAAAGATCTCAAATTTGGACTCATCAGACCAAAGCACAGATTTCCACTGGTCTAATGTCCATTCCTTGTGTTTCTTGGCCCAAACAAATCTCTTCTGCTTCTTGCCTCTCCTTAGCAGTGGTTTCCTAGCAGCTATTTGACCATGAAGGCCTGATTGGCGCAGTCTCCTCTTAACAGTTGTTCTAGAGATGGGTCTGCTGCTAGAACTCTGTGTGGCATTCATCTGGTCTCTGATCTGAGCTGCTGTTAACTTGCGATTTCTGAGGCTGGTGACTCAGAAGCAGAGGTGACTCTTGGTCTTCCTTTCCTGGGTCGGTCCTCATGTGTGCCAGTTTCGTTGTAGCGCTTGATGGTTTTTGCGACTCCACTTGGGGACACATTTAAAGTTTTTGCAATTTTCCGGACTGACTGACCTTCATTTCTTAAAGTAATGATGGCCACTCATTGTTCTTTAGTTAGCTGATTGGTTCTTGCCATAATATGAATTTTAACAGTTGTCCAATAGGGCTGTCGGCTGTGTATTAACCTGACTTCTGCACAACACAACTGATGGTCACAACCCCATTGATAAAGCAAGAAATTCCACTAATTAACCCTGATAAGGCACACCTGTGAAGTGGAAACCATTTCAGGTGACTACCTCTTGAAGCTCATGGAGAGAATGCCAAGAGTGTGCAAAGCAGTAATCAGAGCAAAGGGTGGCTATTTTGAAGAAACTAGAATATAAAACATGTTTTCAGTTATTTCACCTTTTTTTTTGACTTAATGAATTATTGATTTGAGATTATTAAAGAAAGAAAAAGGAAAAAGTGTGAGTGTGAGTTAAGTGAACAAATATATAAATAGAAAATACAGTCAGTTTATTAAAGTATATACAGATGCATCCAAATCAGGGCAAAACAGGGTAGGAATAGCATTTGTAGTTCCAGATTTAAATATTGTATTGAATAAAAGAATCAATGATGATTTAGCAGTATACACAGACGAGCTACTGGCCATTCATATGGCACTGAACTGGGTACAAGAAGTCAGACCAGGCAAAGTGCTTATAGCATCAGATTCCAGTAGTGCATTGGTATTCAGTCAGATACAAGACAAGACATAATATTCGAGATAGCACATATATTACAGGGAATAAAGAGAGCAGGAGTAGAGCTCAAGTTCATTTGGGTTCCAGCACATACAGGATTTGAGGGGAATGAACTGGCGGATAAGTAGGCTATGCCAAGGGTGCAACAAGAAAGGAACAAATATCAATGGTTGTAACATGTAGTAAAGCTGAGATTAAAAGTATAGTAAAGTCAGAGATGAAGAAGAAATGGCAGAAGCAATGGGACAGAGAGAGTAGAGGTCGACAGTTTTACAGTATACAAAGGAATGTTGGAGAAATGAGAGAAAGTCATAGGAGCAGCACGGAAGAAGACATCATATCACGCGTGAGGTTTGGTCATACAGGGTTAAATAGCACATTATTCATAATACAGAAACATGAAACAGGAAATTGTGAACATTGAGGGTCAGGAGAAACTGCAGAACATATCCTCTTCTAGTGTCCAAAGTACCAAACACAGAGATACACACTCAAAGCAGCATTTTAGAGAAATAAGATACCGTTTAATGTAGCAGATCTATTGAGGAGAAATTCAGGGGATGTTGTGTTTGGAGCGATTTTCAGGTTTTTGGAAGCAACAGGGCTTGTAAATAGAATTTACTACGTAGTATATTCTGTTCCACACTCCAGTCCAGAAGGTGGCGGTAATGCACCTAAAAGTTGTTTGCCAACCGCCATAAAAAGAAAGAAGAAGAAGAAGAAGAAGAAGAAGAACTACACTTGATACCGGCTGAAAGTGCTTGGACGTGCTGACATACTGCAGTAAGCGCGTTGTGTCATTTCCGGTGTTTCTGTGATAGCGTCTTTGTGCTGCTCTAGTGAATTCCTACCAGCTTGTTTTCTGTTTTTCCTCACTTCAGTTGCTTAACATCTACTTCACGCCTTAACCCACACTAGTTCTGTTTAAGCACTTATAGCTCTCCTCTTTTTAACAACTTTCTTGCTAATCTTAGCTGTTGGTAGCACATTATTAGCCTTGTTAGCTACGTTAGCTTAACACTTAGCGATGGCTTCTCCTTCTGCTCTTTCTTGCTCGGTGTGCCAGATGTTCAGTTATGCCTCTGCCTCCTTTAGTGACAGTGGTAAATGTAACAAGTGTAGTTTACTTGCTGTGTTGGAGGCGAGGCTTAGTGAATTGGAAGCACGGTTCTGCACCATGGAAAATCACTCGGTAGCTGCGGTAGTTAGCCAGCCCCCTGTAGCCGGCGCGGAGCCACTTAGAATAGCCTCTGTTAGCGGTCCCCTGGTAACGCCCGTGCAGCTGAGAGGCTGGGTAACTGTCCAGGAGAAGCGTAGTACCAAGCTGAAGCCCACTGTTCACCACTAGCCTGTTCATGTTTCCAACCGTTTTTCCCCACTCAGCGACACACCCGCTGAGGAGAAACTCTGGTCATTTTTTTTTTTTTTTCTAAACTCTGCTCATTGGCAGCCCTATTTTGTGAAACGTTAAGTTAGCAACACCAGCGGCCATAGTCAAATGTATCCCTGGGGCCAGGGCGGGCGAGTCTAATTTAAAACTGCTGGCTAAGGCTAAACATAGATTTATTAAGATTGTTATTCACGTTGCCAGCAATGACATCCAGTTACGCCAATCGGAGGTCACAAAAATTAATGTTGCCTCGATGTGTGCATATGCTAAATCTATGTCGGTCTCCATAGTTTTCTCTGGACCCCTCCCAAATCGGACCACTGTTGAGATGTTTAGCTGCATGTCATCATTTAATCGCTGGCTGTCCAGGTGGTGTCCAGCAAACGATGTGGGTTTCCTTAATCATTGGCAAACTTTCTGGGGAAAACCTGGTCTGATTAGGAAAGACTTTAGCTGGAGCTGCTCTCATATCTAGAAACCTGGCCATGTTTATTAGTAATTCAAAACCCTGACAACCCAGAGTTGAGACCAGGAATAAGAGTCACAGTCTTGCATGCTTCTCTGAGCTTCTAGTGCAGTTACCCACCCATAGTTGTATACAAACGGTGTCTGTCCCATCTAGGGTTGGGACTCGTTAGGATTTTAATGATTCCGATTCCTTACCGATTCCTTCTTAACGGTCCGATTCCTTACTGATTCCTCTTACCGATTCCTACATTATATTCATTATACTTGCTATACTTAAACAAGTATACAAGTAAAACAAACAAGTACTCTTCTCTACTCTATTCTGCTCTGCTCTGTTCTACTCTGCTCTACTTTGCTCTACTCTGCTCTACTATACTCAGCTCTACTCTGCTTTGTTCTGTTCTGCTCTGC